GGATGGTCCTCAAAGAAGGAACGGAGCCAGGCCACCAATTCCCAACTCAGAGAGCCTCCCCAGGAGAATACTGTGTTCGGCGGTATCAAAGGCGGCTGAGATACTGAGGAGGACCAGCAGAGACATTTTTCCCCTGTCGGCCTCCCTCAGTAGGTCATCAAACAGGGCAACCAGTGCCATTGCTGTGCCGTGGCACAGCCTAAAGCCCGACTGCAATGGATCCAGGGCATTGGTTTCATCCAGAAGAGCCTGCAGCTGATCGGCCACCACCCTCTCAACTACCTTGCTGAGGAAAGAAACACTGGCGACGGGCCTATAATTACTAATATCATCCACCATTTTCGTCCATTTATGAAGCTCAGGGCTTCATAAATGGGAATTAACACACCATTATCTTCACAAAGCAAAGTGTGCTGCTTATAAACCATCCCATAGTGCTCAAAGCTCTCGCTGAGTGGTTTGCAATTTAATTATACAGGCTACACCTTGCCCTCCCAGTGAGCTAAGTACTCATTTTACTGACCTCAGAAGGATGGAAGGCTGAGTGAACCCTGAGAGGCTACCTGAGCCTGAGATTGGATTCAGGTCATGAGCAAAGTCTTCACTGCAGTACTGCAGTTTAACCACTGTGCCACAAAGTCAGTGTGAGGTGGTTTAGGATGAAGACAGAGATTGTCTTATGCTCATACACTGAGTTTCATGATTTAGCTGGGTTTTGCACCCAGATTACCCTTGTCCTACAGTCTATTACTTCATGACAGGTCAGGGCTAATTAACCATGCTAACAGCAAGCAGCCAAAAGACAGGGCATTGCTTTTAACCTTTCTTTCTTCTGTTTCCTTGAAGAGAAGGCAAGAAACTGGTGAGCACCAAGTACTGTCTCCCTACCTTTGGCCAACATTCACTATAGTGGTCTTCTGTATCTGCTTCCTTCTCAGCAGCAGATTTCTCAATGTCTTGTTGCCGCCATGTTTTAAATGCTGCTCCCAACAGGCCATGAACAAATAGGATATCCGCTTTAATAGGCTCACTGATAAGGGAGAGAAATTGGAAGAGAGCACAAATTACTAGAAGCCTGCAGCCAAAAAGATGCTTCCAAAGCAGTCTGAAATTCTGTTCTGTCCCCCATTGGGTTTTGGCCTCATTGGATCCTGAATGGTTGCCAGCTCTGCAATGCTAAATAACTGCCAACATTCTCCTTTTACAGAGTAATTCTAAACTTAGGGTGAATCGGATGGCAACAGAGGTTAACATTCTGATTGTGCTGGAAAGGGCTGACTTGCTGGGAGTAACCTTCTTTCAAGTGACTCTTCAGTGCAGACCAGAATCACTCCAGCCCAGCTCTGAAAAAACAGTAGCCCTGCTGCTGGACCAAAAAGGACTGGCTTGGACACAGAGCAGGGTTGGGCTGCTTCACGATCTCTTGAATGCCATCTTGATCGCTGGAAAATAGCTCACACCACATCAGAGGTCCAAAATATGAGCTACAGTAATTCATATTTGGATAGAACATCTATCAGGCCAACCAAACCCCCGGGGGGGGGGAAGCATTTCTTTTCCACTCTCTTTTTGATGTATGCAAGAACATAGAAGCCATCAGAAAACGCACCCGGAGGGGACAAGCTGGTGGGAGCTGAGATCCACTCGCACCTCTCCAATTGTCACTGGAAAGGCCGGGAAGGCAACGTTCTGCTTTAAGGTTATCAGAGATGAAATAAATTAAACTTGAACTCATAAACAGGCAGAGGAAGGAGAAGATGACAATAGGACAGAAGAAATTGGTGGCGGGGGTGGGGGGAGAGATCAAATCAGCATAGAACATTTCAGACCCAAGGAGCAATCAATGCAGTGTAAATCTGAATATAACTGGACTGAAAGTGAGTATATATTCCCTGAAATCTGGACAGCGCAATCAACCGCTATCATAATGCTTCCCCCTCCCCCATCCCTTCCCTTGCATTTTCAGTTTTTTACACTGTAAGTCCCAGGCAACAACAATCTAATTACCAGTTGTTGTGAACTCCTCAGGGAAAGCCTTTCGGTGGAAGTGTGGGATGCAAATGCATATATGCATAAAAATAGGTGGGTTTCCAATGACTAAGGAAGTAGCAGGAGAAAAAGAAAGAAAGAAAAAAAAGAAAATATGCCTCCTTCCTTACTCAGTTCGATATTGTGGGTGTAAAAGATACACGCCATCTGGATACTTCTCCTGTACCGTTTCCCTGTCTAGGTTGGCCAAAGCTCTTGCTGCGTGGGAGGATTCCATGACATGAGGAGACTTTGCCATTTCAGCTAGTACAGAAACCCAACCTAGGGGTTGAATCAAATGAAGACAATTGTCAGCTACTAAAATGATATAGGATTATAGCATCATTCCCTTTAAAATAACATTGTGCTACTGCACTGTAAAAGTCCAAGCGTATAACAATAAGGCTTTTGCAAAGGAATGTAAGGACTGGTAAAGTGGTAAAGTGGACTTGTCCACGAAAGCTCACATTAAAATATAATAGTTAGCCTTTAAGGTGTCATATGTTTTTGTCTTATCTTTTCTTATTTTGTTTTGTTTTGTTTCTTTGGATTTTGCCTGATATGTTTAATTATCCTTGTTTTTAACTCATTACTTGACAGAATGGCTTTAATAGAACTTTTTCAAACGCTACACTATGGTTATACATTTTTAGATGCATTTTTTAAAACCCAGTGAGCCACGCGCAATAAGAAGGGGAAATCAGCAACAATAAGAAAAACTGAATAATAATATTCTTTTTCAAACATTAGTGTATCATGCTCTGCAGTTTCTAAACAGCACTCCAGAAAAAGCTTTACCTCTTTTGTAATGTTCAGTTCTTTACCTGTAAGATTCTTTATTATGTATTATCTCAGCAATTGTTTCTTTTAACACAATTTTTTTAATGCTAGGACCACTTTGTGCTGTACCTTAAAAACACCTCCTTTTCCTGAATGACAAGTCTAGGCCTCTTGAATTTTAAATTACTACACTGCAGGTTAACGAAATGCTAAACTTTTTTAATGAAATACTTCAGCCTATAAGACAGAAAAAGGTCCTTTATTTATCCATAAGAACTTCCCATTGGAAAAAATAAATAAATCTGGCACTACCTGCACGATATATGGATGAATGAAGTCGCTCATCCAGTGCCATGTTTCCAATTATGTGAATAATGCTCCTTTGTATTTTGGGGGAATTTCTACAAAGATGGTATAGTTTCTGGAGCAACTGAAGACCTTTGTTTGATTCAATTTCCTCACAATGACTAGGAACCTGAAATTATACAGTAAACACAATAACAAACAATTATATAATTCTACTGTGAAATTATGTGATGCACAAAAGGGGCCATTTGCTCATAATCAAGAATCTTTCTGGGAACAGATGGAAAATACATTATACATTCAGTGACATTCACAAAACAGCAAGCATGGCATGCAAAAAAGAGAGAATATTTTGGCATCTCTTAAGACTGAGCTCAGAAGCAGTTATAGAAAAGAAGGAAGGCTGTGCATTTTTAGATGTATTTCTGCACTACCTCTTTCTCTTGGATCTTTTTAAAAATCATAATGCTTCATAAAAACAGACAATCTTTCAATATGCAAAAAGTATGGACTCCAAAGATGCCACAGTGTCTTTGTGGGTTGCACAAAAGGCTCATGGTACAAACTGGCTGGGTTATACAGTCATATGAAAAAAGTTACCCTTTTTGAATGCTCTGGTATTATGAATCAGAAAATTATCTAGTCCTTAGCAAATCTGAAAATTAGGTAAATACAACCTCGGATGAACAACAATACATGACATATTACACTGTGTCATAATCTATTTTACAAAAATAAAGTCAACATGGAGAAGCCATGTGTGAAAATCTAAGTACGTCTTATGATTCAATCCCTTGTAGAACCACCTTTAGATGCAATAACTTGACAGAATCATTTTCTGTATCAGTCTCTCATGTCGTTGTGGAGGAATTTTGGCCCACTCTTCTTTACAAAGTTGTTTCAGTTCATTAAGGTTTGTCCGCATTTGTTTGTGCACAGCTCTCTTAATGTCCTGCCACAACATTTCAATCAGGTTGAGGTCTGGACTTTGGCTGGGCCATTGCAATGGTTTCTTTTCTTTTTCAGCTATTATGTTGCAAATTTCCTGGTGTGCTTGTGATTACTCTCCTGTTGCATGACCCAATTTGGCCAAGCTTTAGCTGTCGGACAGATGGCCTCCCATTTGACTCTAGAATACTTTGGTATACAGAGGAGTTTATGGTTGAGGAAATGCCTGTAAGGTGCCCAGGTCCTGTGGCTGCAAAACAAGCCCAAATAATCACCACTCCACTTGACAGTTTGTATGAGGTGTTTGTGCTGATATGCTGTGTTTGGTTTTCGCCAAATATGATGCTGTGCATTATGGCCAAACATCTCCACTTTGCTCTCATTTGTTCAAATGACATTGTTCCAGAAGTCTTGTGGTTTGTTCAGAAGCAACTTTGCAAACCTAAGCCATGCTGCCATGTTCTTTTTAGAGAGAAGAGGCTTTCTCCTGGCAACCCTTCCAAACGAACCACACTTGTTCAGTCTTTTTCCAATTGTACTATCATGAACTTTAACATTTCACATGCTAACTGAGGCTTGTAGAATCTGAGACGTTAACTCTTGAGTTATAGGCAATTTCTCTGAGAATTTCATAGTCTGACTTTGGGGTGAATTTGCTTGAATGTGCACTACTGGGGAGATTGGCAACTGTTTTGTACATTCTTTATCTTGTGGAGTTAGAAGAGCCTTGTGGCACAGTGATTAAACTGCTGTACTGCAGCAAAAATTGTGTTTATGATCCGGGGTTCAATCTAAATTGTGCTCATGAGCCAGGTAGCTGGCTCAAGGGTGACTCAGCCTTCTATCCTTCCAAGGTTGGTAAAATGAGTACCCAGCTTGCCGGGGGCGGGGGGTGGGGGTGGGGGCAACAAAGTGTAGCCTGCATAATTAACTTGCAAACTGCCCAGAGAGTGCTTGAAGTGCTGTGGGGGCGGTATATAAGCAGCACGCTTTGCTTTGCTTTTTTATCTCAGCATACAAACCCACAGTTCAGGCTAGCATTACTAATAGCTATGGATCACTTAAAGTAATTAGGTCTGACTGTTTCCTGCATGGATATTAGTGGGTCTTAGTAATGAACAAAATTTGATTTGGCTTACTAGTCAAATCTATATTTGCTGCCACTGCCTCTTTTTTCCCCTGAATCCTAAGTGATGCCCCAGAACTTACAAAAAGGAGAGGTATTTGCCCTTACACTTAACTCTGGCAGAAAATGCAAGGAGCTCCTCATGGCTGTGCTTCTCAGAACAGTTTGACAGGAATGAGCTGAGTTGTTTTTTCACAGAAAGCACCAAGAGTGTGCATTCCTACCACCTTTGTGTTCAATGGAAGAAAATCATCCTCCCAGGCAAAAGAAAGCAGATGTGATTTAATTCCATGGAGCTGGGCTTTAAAACTAGCATAAGCAATATGTCATTGTTGGTCATTACATTAAAATACTTCTCCCATTCTACCAAAGAAAGAAAGAAAGAAAGAAAGAAAGAAAGAAAGAAAGAAAGAAAGAAAGAAAGAAAGAAAGAAAGAAAGAAAGAAAAAGGAGAGGACAAAGGAAAAATTTCCCATACAGAAAACACCAGGCATTCTGGATTCCTACTTCTTGCAAACAATCTGACAAGAGACAAATGAAAGGAAGTCCTAGTTTCTCTCCTTCATTCTAATCCAGTCTTTGAAAGCTTGTTTGCACAAAGTGACACAACTGTTGGTTTCTTTCAAAGCCCACCCTGCAGGATACAGGTCCCAAGTTCCTGCTGAAGGAGAGGGGCTTGGCTCTTCCCCTGAGAACTCCCATTCTAGAAAAAGCACCACCTTATAGCTGCTTCAAAAAAGGAAGTGGAAAGATCTTCCCTAAACATCCATGATTATGGCCCATTATTGCGCAACTGTAGGAAGTTCCACATGTCCCAAAGATGTACAGTATTTTTGACTCCCCCAATCATTAATGTTGAATGGTATTTAAAGACTTGGTAGGAAGTTCCACATGTCCCAAAGATGTATTTTTGACTCCCCCAATCACTAATGTTGAATGGTATTTAAAGATTTTGCTGTTCACATGTGTTTTTAATTACTAATGTTGCTTGATATGTACTATTTTACTACTGATTTTGGAATGAATTGTTTTTAGTTGTTATTTTACTGTGAATTTTATATTTGACTTTTAATCCATCTCATTATGATCTTTAGCTGTGAACTGCCCTGAGAAGATTCTCTTGGCTTTAATAAGCAATAATTACTTCTGTTGGTTAGTCACACTGGCAATTGGCACAGTGGCATAAACGTCTATGGTGAATTGCCATAAACAAGTTGTCATCTGTATCCTTCATCACATACCAGTCACATAAGCTGGCACACAACCAAAGATGTAAGCAGCTACTAATTATCTAACAGCAATTTATGCCACTGCACATATAGGTATGCTGATGTACCTACTCAGATTTTTGGCCAATGTAATATACCACTACGTAAATAACATTTGCAATGTTTTAAGATGATCTGAAGTCTCTATTGAATTACCTTTGAATGTTGCACTAAGGCTTGCAAACAGAAGAGTTCTATTGTCTTTGCAGGGACAGTGCTAAGACTTTCACAGTAAGGAAGTCCGTTTCCACCAAAACACCACAAGCCCCCCTGAAAAAAATCAGAGTTGATTTTTAATTAATTTTAAAACAGTGAAATAAATGACATGAAAGAATTTGCTTACAATAAGCATTGGGTAACATTAATTTAAGGATTAGGCTTAATAGTTGTCATGAATTTTGATAAAGCAAGTGAGCTATTCTTCAAGTCTCAGACAGTAAAAAATCTTGCAGTTCTCTACCTCCTTCCTGATTCTTGCAGCTCAGATAGCTAGCAAGACACTGCAATGGGAAATTTAGAAAAAAAACACATTTATATCCCATAATTGCTATTTTTCGTTGTCTACTTGGGTAAAATACACAAAGAGAGACTTAAGCTTTCAAAAGGTAGCAAAACAGAGGAAATATGCCAGCATCAGTGAACAACAGGTATAATAAAAAGGTTGCCAAAGATGGTGGTGGCGGTCCAGAGTCTCCATGATTCACTTCCATGGAGAAGATAACATGGGAACGTCCCACCCGCCAAAGGTATAAGGTAATTAGAGCACAGTTTTCTATGTTACATCAAAATTAGGAATACTACTACACCTTTTGTGCAGCAATGGCCTGGCTACTTTCTCTTAAAGCCAAAGATGTAAAATACTGTACACATGGGTCAAGATCTGTCTGTGGTAAAGCTGCCAGCAGCAGTCGAAGTTCATCTTCTAAACAAGCCTATAGCATAAAAGCAAAAACTTCTGTCAACTTCTCTTGAAGTGGAAAGATATAATTAAATTACCGGTACCAACAAAAGACAACACATAATTAGATCTATGTAAGTGGTACTTTTCAGAAGAGGAGCATATTTTTCTGAGTGACATGTGAGCCAGTAAGTGGCAACTAGAGTAGGCCCAATGAACCCATGAGGATTTGGGGAGTCAACTCCTCCATAGGTTCAATGGGCCTACTCTAGTTGTGACTTACTACATTAAGCAACAGGACTTCAGACAACAATTCACATATCTCAGCAAATACTTTCTTATGGTCCATCCTATCCACTGCGCTCAGGTGGAGAGGACCTCTGTGAAGAGATTACATTTGCTCATCTGAGGGTTAAAAGACGGGTAGAGAAAATATACACCTTAGTCCTCGCCACCACAAAGTCCCTAACCGATCACAACCCATTCATATCCCAATTTTCTCATACTGTGGGGCAAGAGCTGAAAATGATCAGAACTGCATGTTCAACATGAGAAGGCTGAAAATGGAAAGGAAATGGAGATGTTCAGGTGGTGCCTGAGTGGACAGCCACTTTCCACTCCACCTTTAGACCTCACATGGCCAGGCTGAACACCTGCAGTAGGTTAGATCCACCTAACAATAATTACAATACAGAAATAAAATACAGGCGTGGCATTGGGATTTAGATTTCTCTAGGTGTTCCTATCCACTGCTAATTGGGCAATTTGCCACATCTATGAGTACCCTTAACTCCCCAATAAGAAGCAAAATAACAGAACACATCTTCCTTAGCCTTACAGTATCCAACACAGTCGCTGTCCTTGTACACCTTCTCCACGAAGCATAGTCTGGGGGACCAGTCTGTTGTATAGTTCAATTATTTCCTAAATGTCATATAACCTACTGGATATAACTGCTTTCAGAACAGTCTGCTTCATCTAGTTTTTGAGCTCTGTGGACTCTTCACCTTACTTTACCCCTAAGCCTTATGTCTGCATCAACTTTCTGCTGCTCACAGTCTCTCAGCACTCACCTTGGCCCATCTTCCATCTGTATTTAATTGTTTGTTTCCTCCAGTTGCTTTGTTCCTTCCCATATTCTGCAGCAGCATAGGCAGGAATGAAATGCCGTCAGCTCCTCTTATGCTGCTGCAGCGACCTGCAGATGGATTCCATGGCTGGACCTTTTCTCCAGTCACATGTTTGTCACTTTCAGAACTGACAGAGACATTCCAGACTGCCCCTTGTTATTGCTTTTAGATCCAAATTCTAGTAGCTATTGGGACTGGATAAGGAAGGCTATCTACAACTTTGCACTCAAAGTGCAACATCAAATTAAAAATAGTTATGTTTCTAATTGGTGAGGATGTATTTTCACTTGTACACCAGGCTAGCTAATATATGCTAATTCTTAAGCAGTAGCTCTCAAATACTTTTATGAAAAGAATGCTGGACAGGGGTTTTCTGGATATTATTATACGTACATCTGCTGGTTTGGGTAAAAGATGGGGTGGCAGGAAAAATCGCAGGTCTACATCTTTACTTCGAGCTAAACCAATAGCAGTTCTTTGATCAATGGCCTGGGCAGCTGTTCTATATTGATAATCTGTATTAGAATAAACATACAGTTATTATTTCAACTTCTCTATAGAAAGTTTTTAAAATCTGAATAAGCAAGGGATACATTTTTGTAACTAATAAAAGCATGTAATTCACAATGGTTGGAAAAGTAGGGAAATATCTTTTGGTCTGTCTCAAGACACGTTTAAATAGCTTCTGTCACTCTATTTTATATTTCAGCTTTGGATCTCAGATTGGTTTTATTCTGTTTCAATCTCTGATTATGATGCACATCACTTTGAAGTCTTTGGGTTCAAGTTATAGTTAAAATATTTTTTAAGATAAGCATAGAACTAATGTAGACATTTGTGTCCAAATTAGACATTCACAAATGGCTTGTTTTTTCATCAAATAGGTATGCAAATAGCAGTAAACACTAAGATATTCTTTTTTGTTCAGGGTTGTATCTTAAAGGAATTTAGGCACAGTCCTATGTGGACTGGGTCTTCCCTGAACTGTTTTGGGCATGGCAATTTAGCAACTGCACATTTATCTAAAAGGTTAAAATCCAGATTTGGAGTATTTTGCATATGTTTACTATCCTTGCTTTAGATCAGGCTTGTCCAACCTTGGCCCTCCAGATGTTCTTGGACTTCAACTCCCAGAAATCCTGGCCAGCAGAGGTGGTGCTGGCCAGAAGAGGTGGTGCTGGCGGCTTCTGGGAGTTGAAGTCCAAGAACATCTGGAGGACCAAGGTTGGACAAGCCTGCTTTAGATGAAAACAGATGTAGGTTTAGAGGTTATTGAAAGCACATTTAAAACATGCAGAAAAGTTTAATTAGAAGTAAATTCTAAATGAAATTTAAAATGATTAATTCAGATAAACTCTAGCTGCAACTTGATTATGCCCCAATTTAAAGCAAATTCTCAGGTGGACACTACAGTTTCTCTCTCCCCTGCATCTTTTAAGAAGATCACGAGAGAAGGAGAAAGACAGAGAAAAATTTGCAAACTGACAGGAAGGAGAAAAGTTGACAGGTGAGATAAAAAAAAAATTAAACTGGATCCCTTGTGGAAAACAGAGGTTAAAAGGGGTGTATGCGTGTGCACCAGATGTGGCACGACTCTGGACAACTGCTTTCAAGTAATTCTAACTTTTCACTGTAACAGAAGTGTATCCTGTGCTCATCAAATTTAATAAATAAATTAATAAATAAATAAAATTCTAACTTTTCACTGTACAGAAGTGTATCCCGTGCTCATACACAATGGTGGTGTTGCTCTGGGTTTGACATTACTAAGAATTTCAGTTGAACAAAAACACTACAGCTGAACGTGCATTTCTCTTTCTCTCTCAGATTCATCCCCACTGGAAATTTCATCTACACATGTTTCACTGAAACTAAACTAATCTTGCAGTGATCTTTTTTATCCAACAGGCTGTGCATGAGGGAATTTCCAGGTACCTTGCGCCTCTACCCACTGGTCAGAGGGTTCTTTTCATAGCAGTGGTGAGCTGATGACCAGCAGTAAAAAGGCTGTGACTACCCTAACAGAATACATTACCACGCCAATGATTGGAAGCCAGTTCCCGTACAGCTTGCAGTCGGACCATTTTATCTTCAGACTGGCTTCTTTTCACAAGGAGCCACAAAGTGCACTCATGTTCTTCTGCATCAAAGGTACTGAAGCGTTCTTTAGCCAAAAATAAAATACATTTCAAAATTATTATATTTGCTGCGCAATTACATCCTTCATTATCAATAGGAAATGAAGATAACTCCTTTGAGAGCAACCACTTACAGTATGCTATACAAAGAAGGACATTATTTTATGACCCAAAAGAAACATATATGTATGCTGGTAAAGCCATTGTTCGGTTTTTAATATATTGAAGACCTGCGATTCATTAGTGCTGGTAGCCCGTTCAGCAATGCAAGTCACAATTTTTCTGCATCATTACATTCACAGTTCTTGGGGCTAATTTATCATCTGGCAAGCAACCTTCTGGTGATGAACCTCTCTATATTTAGCTCTCTATATAGCTATATTTGACAGAGGCAAACACAGTCTGCCACCAGGGCCATGTCTAAAGCTTCATCAAGATGACAAAATGTATCAGAGCTTGTATTTCTATAGTATAGTCTTCAGGAGTCTACATTGCATTTTTATACCACAATGAGATGGTAAAGAACAACTTTCTGGAGGTATTTAATAACACCCTACATTTATATGACATTTTAACATGTTATAAGTGTTTTACATATACAATCCCATATGACAGGAGTAGTGGACTTCCAATGGCACACTGTATTATTACACCAACTGGCAAAATAGACACTAAGAGGCAAGGACTTCCTGCAGGTTACCCCAGTGAGTCTAATGACAGACTGGGAGCTTCCTCCTTCATAGCTTAGTCTCTTTGCCATTATGTGACATTATGTGCAATCTTAAAAGACAGTTATTTAGAGGCTCAGGTCATCGTCATCTAGTCCTTTAGTCATGTCCTACTCTTCGTGACCCCATGCACCAGAGCATGCCAGGCCCTCCTATCTTCCACTGCCTCCCGTAGTTGTGTCAAATTCATCTTGGTTGCTTCGATGACCCTGTCCAACCATCTCATCCTCTGTTGTCCCCTTCTCCTCTTGCCTTCACACTTTCCCACCATCAAGGTCTTTTCCAAGGAGTCTTCTCTTCTCATGAGATGGCCAAAGTACTGGAGGCTCAGGTAGGGCTGATTTAAAAACTGTCTCTTTCATGAAGGCAGAAATTTTATATGATCAACAACAAAGAGGAAATTAATTCGCTATTTCAGGTCTTAACATCTATGCCACATAGCTAGAAATCATGTTACCTGATAGAACACCTCCTACCATATGAATTTACCAATCCCTTGAAATCAAACACAGAAGTCTTACTCCAAAAAGCCCTCAATCTGAAATTTGACAGATGGCCATCAGAGGATGCCTGTTCAGTGATGACCCTGCAGACATATAATGCTCTCTCTAGCTTCCCCAGCACAAGTCTTGTTACACCAAGTTATAACTTGTCTGCCTTCCCACGTCTTTTATGAGCTTGTTGTTTTAATCTCTGTGTGCAGTGATGGCGGCATTAGCTCGTGTATTGTTTCTAGCTCCTGCTGTTTAATGTGGTGGGTGCATGTGTTTGGTTTCATGCCAGAATTTTAAGTACTTATTGGCCAAAATGCTACTGCACAGTTACATAAAAAGTATAACTTTTAGTGGTGAACTGCCAATCTATATATATAGTCTCTGTTGTATATTTTTTGCATGACTAAGCGTGCATCAGATAACACCTAAGTGATTTCTTAATTTATGGCAAAATGCCACTAAGAATTACACTTTTTGCGTGAACTGTGCAATGGCATTTTGGCCATTGTTTGTTTTTTATTGCCTTACAGTCATGCTCTAAATATGTATGACACTCTGACATCTAATAACACAAATAATACATGAAAAATAAACATGGACATTTTGCTGAAGAGTTTTTTTCTGGGCTTTCTTTTTGTCTCCCCCACCGCATGGCCTGGGGGGACCTAGGGGGTGGGGCTTTCTGCTTTAAATGAGTGTGTCCCAGGGCCACGCGCCTAATGGTGTGCGAAATTCTCAAATTCCCTGATTCTATCTCTGGCCTTAATATGGTAAATAGGAAAGCCAATTAGATTTGCATGCACCTGGGAGGCAGGAAAGTTTTAAGGTTTGGATCATACTTTAGCACTATTAAAGAGCAGGCCGGGTAGGTGGAGCTCATCAGCCATGGAAGGCAGCCCATCTAGGAGAAGGAAAACTCCAATTTCAAACCTCCACTGCCTTGTGGCTATATCCACTGATGGAAAAGGCTTCAGAAGTTAACCTAGAAGGCAGTTTGTGTCGTTCCGCCAACTCCTGTGACGTTGCTGGAACCAGTTGTATTGGCTCTTGCCATTGGACCATTTCAGCAATGTGGAGAGGGGGGATCTGCTGCTTTCGTAACAGCCTATCCTCCATATTACTTTACCCAGGCTTCATGCTCTGAAGAGGACACTCTTCGATTCAGAGCATGTTACCATAGTCTCTCGAGACTGAAGAATGCCTATGCTAAATAAACATTTCTCCTGAAAAATAACATACTAAATGTTCTGACTTTGAAGCATAAGCTTTGCTACAAAAACCAATGAACTAGGTTTGGCACAACACAAAGATGACAAAATCGGAATAAATGGAATTATTCCAGGGTTAGTTTTGAACCTCAGATATTTACTAAGGGTACTAATTTCTTTCACCAGGTGACACAGTACCTAATAGAATCAGACTCTGTAGCCCATGATCCTTACACCAAATAAAGTTAAGGTGTCACAAGATTTTTTATAATTTTTTTTACTTTTTCATGGTAGACTAACATATCTGCATCCCCAGCAAATTAAAGGATCAACTGTAATCTTTATGAAGCTGTGGTAGAACTGGTCCCTTTCTATCTGCTGGATGATGTTAACACAGAGAGAAATGCAACAGATTTTCCACTATGGCTATTCAGTGCTGGGGAGCTGGGTCTGTCTCCTTTCTGGCCATCAAGGACTTGCTAAAGCTTGTGCTTTGAAGGAGGAGGCAAATCTAGGTTGTAGGCTGGAAACTAGATAGAAGTACCAATAAAGGAGTAGAGAAAGAGCATTCTGCACACTCTTTTTGTTGCCACTAGAGAAGCTCCACATGGAGCCCAAGGGGCAAGGTGAAAGAAACAGGAGGGCAACAGTCTACAGAGCAGGAAAAATGAACTAGGTTTGAAATGCATATACTGTAGGAGAAAAGTGGTACATAAATAAAATAAACCAATATTTGGTTCAAAACAAAAGAAAGAGTAGGAAAGACGGAGGGAAAACTTGAGTTTAAGTGTTTGTTTTCACACCCTGTTTGTGGACTGTTCAGAGCATCTCACTGGGCATAGCAAGAGAAAAATGCTACGTTAGAAGGATCACTGACCTGACCTAGAAATCTTCAGAGGCAGCCATGTTAGACTGGTTCAGCATGTAGAAGAAAAAATAAAAAACAAAAGACCTGTGGCACCATAAAAACCAAACAATTTATTTCAATATGATCTTTCATGGATTCTGTGGCTTAATCCACAAAAACTCACACTGAAATAAAGCTGTTAGTCTTTATAATCTGTGCATTATATTAATGCACAGATTTGATATGAACATTTTATAGGTGAAAATGAAATACATTTTTCTAAATAATTAGTTTGCTTTTATTTGTATACACATGGTAATTAGCAGCAACATTCTTAACATTTAACACATTCTACAAAACCTACCATCAAATGGCCTTCGAAAAATCCTAGCATTTGTTTCCAAAATTTTCCTTGCTACTTTGTGAAGCTTCTTTCTCACTTGGTAAGTAATCCCTACAAAAATAATGTAGATTAAGTGACATTATCTAATACTAAGTTTTCAGACATACACATGGTAATTAGCAGCAACATTCTTAACATTTAACACATTCTACAAAACCTACCATCAAATGGCCTTCGAAAAATCCTAGCATTTGTTTCCAAAATTTTCCTTGCTACTTTGTGAAGCTTCTTTCTCACTTGGTAAGTAATCCCTACAAAAATAATGTAGATTAAGTGACATTATCTAATACTAAGTTTTCAGACTTTTTTCAAATTTTCTACTATTATTTTTAATTTATTTTTAATTTAATATATATTTTATTGTGCCTTTCTCCTTAAAACAGACCCAAGGCAGCTTCCACCATTAAAAAGACTATACTTAAAACAGTAAATATACAAATATTTTAAAAGAATTAAAGATTATATTTAAAGTGGTAAATAAAATCAATACTAAAAACACACACATTTTAAAGGTGACAAGGCACAATAAACTAAATTAAACAAAGCATCAACTAAAAGCAATAAAAGCAAAATTCTGGCTCTACCACAATATTTCTCCAGTGATCTCATTATTCCTTTTGTAAGATCCAGATCATCTGTTTTTTTCTATAGCCCTTCTACAATTCTTTTACTCAAGCTAATCTCTCATTATTTTCTAATTAAAACAGTTAAGATGATACAGGCTATATACAAGAGCACAGATTCAACCGATCTTAAAAATAGTATTTGGCACCTCATTTAAAGTGTACATAAACAAGCATAAAAAGCATAAAATAATAGCAATAATATAATGAAGTATTTTCAAGAAATGAATCAATATGTGATTAACTTGAAGAAAATATGACGCACGCAATATCTTTAATAACGTGATACCCTTACCTTGATATTCACTTGGATCTAAAGAAACTGTTTGTAAATAAATGTAGGATTTTAATTTTTCTTGCTGTACTACTTGAGTATCAAAAGACAGTGCTTTCTTTAAAGCTAGAACTTCATATGCAGCAAAAATACAACCACTAAAAAGAAAGAATTAACAATATCAGCAGATATTAATGCACACATTTAATACAGACTTTTCATAGGTAAAAATGGGATCCAGCTCCATGTATATTTTTCTAAATAAACAGGCTGATTCAACATTAAAGTTCTGGTCCAAGGTAACAGACAATAGTAATGTCTATGTTTTTGCAACTCCCTTCTCCTTTTCCTACCCTTCTCATCAGTTTCTTTAAACCCACATTTTTACATGATTTTTCAACTGCGTTTACAATATGTGAACCAAGATGTGAAACCAGCAACCCTGTTTGCCTAGGAGGTAGAGCAGGAAACCATGCAGAGATGCAGCTGGCAAACTCCTCTGAGAACAGATGTCATCAATGAAGGCTGCGAACTTTAATAGAGGTACAAGCTCTGTAGGATGTACTCCTCCAAAAGCTCCATTCATTCTTTTTCATTTTAAAACATGGAAGTGACCATAAGTTCACTTCTGGATTTAGGATGCGGGAGATCAACCAATTGTCCACATTCTCATGGAAGACCCTGTGCTCTGCTTAATGAGATAACCATTACTCCAAGATTCTCAGCATTAGCAATTTTAATTTCTTATATTTTGAGAAAGGAGGAGAAGGTCCAGGAAAAGCACTTGGGCTACAGTCTTGTCCTTGGGTCTGCATGTGGTCCCTGAATCACATTAATCCCACTTGTTTTAACCGATTAATTAAAAAAATATATAAACTATTGGCCAGATCCTATTGGGAGTTGACACTGGCATACGTATAATTGTGCAAATTACAGTGGCAAATTACCACTACAGTAGTGCCTCGACTTACGACCGTCCCGACTTGCAACCAAATCGAGTAATGCTCAGCTCCAGTCGCAAAACTCTGCTTTGACTTGCAACTCGAGCTTTGATATACGATCAGAAAAAATGGCAGGGAAAAAGGCGGGGAATTTAAACTGCTAACTGTTGGTCGGTGAAGAGGCTGCTTCTCCGTAGCTCCTTCGCCCCAGCGGTTAGAGAGTGTACATTCGGAGGAGGCTTCAGACTGCCTGGTACTGCTTTTATTTTTGCTTTTTGACTTTCTTTTTTTAAAACAGAGAGACTGCCTATTCTGGGTTAGTACTGGGGTTTTGCAGCATGGGTTTGGGCTGGGCGGGGTTTTGCTGGAATGGGTTTTTTTTAATTCTGTGGCTGCTCGGGTTTGGGCTGGGTGGGGCGGGGTATGTTTCTGTGCTTCGATGGGTCTTGGCGTGTTTT